GGAGCATGCCACACAGTCTACATCGTGGTTTGAGTCGATTGAGACGTACATCGCCATATTGTTGGTCTATTCATTAGTTACTTATGTTCACTTTGTTTAACAGTGACCTTTTTAACAGTGTATTATTTCCTTTTTGTGTCATTTATACATGTTTATACATTTATACACATTATATATAAATGTATTTTTGGCAGGAATACATTTATTCAGTTCACTATCACGTCCAGTGATGTCACTCTCGATGTAAGAAAACAACTCGTCGAATGAGGCCCTAGACATCCTGAAGTAGTTGAAAAACTTACTGGGGTGAGCACAAAGATCGTCGAACAGAGTGTAATAAATGCCTTTGCTGAGCCTAGGCACTAGAATGGGATGTCTCCTAAACTGCCTGACTCTTCGCCTCTTTTTTTTTAACAGGAGAACAAGTAGAAGGAGCTCCGAACTGCTCAAAGCCATGTTTGACACTAGAGTGTTGTGGTGAATTCCGCGGTTTGAGCGAGCTACAAATGTGTCGCGCGACTAGTCTCCAGGTTCCAAAACACTGTGGGCCACCGGCGGCTCCGCCTGCGGCGCCGCTAGCTGCGCCACATGTTGCTCACGGCTAATAGGGGCCTAAAAATATTGAAATTGTAGGTGTTTAGAAAGTATGTGTTTTGAACAAAAACTGTAAAAAACTAATACACTACTAATACTACTACTGTAGCTATAACTAAGTGGGCTGAGAAAAATATGACTCCTATGCAAATACAAAACGATTAATAATTAATAGATTAAAGATTAATAATTTTTAATAAGATAGTAAATTATAATCTAATAGTGGTATTAATGCGTATCTTAAAAAAGATCCTATATATCATAATATCACAATAAATTATTATCCTATTCATACAGAACATTTGTGTGTGTTATTTTCGTAGTGCATTCATTCTGAAGTAAACATAAAATACAAGAAAATACTTCCTTTGATTTTGTTTATAACAAAACAGTTCAGTAGGTTTTTTTTATATATTTATGTTATCCAGCTACAATTTATTGATTTTCAAAATACACTCTCAATCTTTTATTTAATTCATATTTGCAGATAGAGCCGTCTTGAAATACGTGAGCTTGACTAATACAAAAGTTTACTTTATTGAAATTATTTTATTCTTTTTAGAGCGTTTGAAGTCGGTTGTATTTTTTTTTACAAGAATAAATTATTTTATGATTTTCAGTGACTGTATAATTTGTTATATATTAGTTATTTGAGGTTTTTCGATAAATATTTTTCTTGAAACAATCAAAATTGTCACAGAACAATCATTAAAACTGCTTGAGTTTTACATTTTTACAAAAGTTTATTTTACATTTAAAAAAGTTTAAGAACATGATAGTAAATTCTAATTAAATATTTAGGGATCGCCACCCAAATATTTTTTTTTATTTTAACCTTTTTTAGTAAGCTCGCCTTAAAAATTTTAAAAATAAATAAACTTGAATATAATTTTGAATAGAAATCTTACTACTGTATTCAGAAAGGCTAAATATATGTTTTTTTTTTTATTTCGAGAAACCCTTAAGGAACACAAATAAATTGTTTATTTGGTTAAATATTTCATATTCATTTCAAAAACATAATTAAAGTAACCACATGTTCAAAGTCTAGGACAATTCTTCGTAATTTGATCTTCAATAATAAACTAGTGGAACCCCGTCGAAATTGACGGTTAATCTTGAGGTTTTATGTAAATTCAGCTAACTGCGTTGGATAGAGTGAAATCATTAAAATCTTAGTTATATGAAGGGAGGATAAGCAATAATAAGTAGGCCTATGACGATTGTGTTCCCTAAAAAACGTGATTGATGAATTCGTTAAACACAATATTTCCTACCTTTCTTTTTACCGGCTTTAGGTTGCCCAAAAGGTTTTTTAGGAGTCTTATAATTGTTTGTTCATGAGTTTGTTTCATACCAAAGCCACTTTCACTATATGGGAGAATGAGTTCATATAATTAGTCTATCATGTTACGGAAAGAGTCAATTTTTATTACTAACCACTAATTCCATCTGCTTTAGGAAAATCATTCAGATTGTATCCGGATTTATCTTAAAAGAGGTAAATCTTCATCTTTTTTTTTGATAAAAATATCTGATTCTCCAGAAGACAGTAACATTCTTACTTCGATCTCAGCAATTTTAAATCCTTCTCTTGCCACATCGACCCATGTATTTATTTAATCATCCTGTTCTTACTTGATAATTCATTAACTTATGGGGTAGTTTTGCCTTGGCCATATAGATCACATAAAGCTGTGCATGTATTTCGTGGATTGGAATGAACCATAATTGTAGGAAATTTTATCACAAATCTTGAACATTTGCGGAACCAAATCCATAACCTAGTCCAGCTTTGGTAACAAATTATGCAAATGCGATGAGATGTGATGATACTGTTGTGTTTCCGAATGTTTTGTATGTCGTGAGGTTTAGATGCGTTGTTCAACCTAGCTACATGTGTACATCAAAGTAAAAACTGTGTACACAATTTTTTTTTTTATACCTGAATTGACATTAGTTCACCTACTTTACCAAAACCATAGACTCCGTAGTTAGTCTATTCCAAAACTTGAACACAGCTCTCATCCTCAACGTACTCATCTATGACACAATTTTCAACCCGATTATCAAAAACTGTTATACCAATAAATGAATCTCAGGTTTTCTTTCTTGAATTTAAAAATAAATTGTGATTGAAAGTAGGAAAAAAGGCAAGTGCCAACCTTACAATATGTATAAGCTAACCCAAAAAGGAATAGTTATATGTTCCTTTGAAATTAATAAGTCACACTTATTTCATAATTTAAAATTTTCTAAGAGCAATAAAGCATAGATTTTTGAACAAAACATTTCAAACGTATCATAAAATCATCATTTTGTTGAAACTATAAAAAACTTGCCATGCAGTGGAGAATCCATTAAAAATAATAGGTAAATAATAATGTAAACATTTAATTTTGACAGTTTCAGTAAACCTTTGAATACAATTTTAATATTAACAGCTGGTTCATTAAAAGTAGTGTAAAATTATCCATATGGTCGAAATGTAAACAAAATTGCAGAGTGAACTTTAAAGGCCTCTGGGGCAGAGCCCCAAGGAAATTTACATCGTTTCTCTTTTGAGGGCTCACCTACAGACCAATACCTTTCTTTAGACACCCCTACCAAGTTTCTACGCCCAGCCGTTCTCTCAAATTAGCTGTGACAAAAACCTCGTTTTCCTCCATAAGAATAACATGGGATGGGAATTTAAAGGCCACTGAGGCAGAGCCCCGAGGGAATTCTCCATGTTTCTCTTTTGATGGCTCATCTACAGACCAGGACCTTTCTTAAGACACCTCTACCGAGTTTACGCCCAGCCGTTCTCTCAAAATAGCTGTCACAAAGAAAAACAGTTTCAAATTAATATATAGATAGTAAATAATAATATTCATTATGAACAAGTTACACCACTCCATAGACAATTTACTTTCCTTTTAAGAATGCCAGAGGTTAACAACATTGGTCTTTAAATTTAGCGGGGAAATTTAATTCGAAACAGGGCGCGCGCTGCCGAGCATTGCCATCATACTACAGCGGGACGATGTCGAAGTTGGACAACGTTAAACGTGGACTACGTTAAAAGCAGACACCGCCTCAATCAGACAACGATAAAAGCAGACAACGACGTTAATGGACACATTCAAATGTGTCCAAGCTTAACGTTGCACGCAAACGACGAACCTGGACACATTTATAAGTTGTCCAGGGGTGGCGTTGCACGACACGACGAATCTGGACACATTCAAATGTGTCCAAGTTTAACGTTGCATGCAAACGACGAACCTGGACAAGTTTTTAAGTTGTCCAGGGGTGGCGCTGCACGAGACGACGAAACTGGACACATTCAAATGTGTCCAAGTTTAACGTTGCATGCAAACGACGAACCTGGACAAGTTTTTAAGTTGTCCAGGGGTGGCGTTGCACGACACGACGAATCTGGACACATTCAAATGTGTCCAAGGGTAACGTTGTACGCAAACGACAACCCTGGAAACTTAATCTGTCCAACTTTAACGTTGTCCGCGTGTGTCGTTGTCCAAGTTCGGCGCGGTCCCACTACAGCACAGGCGCGGCTGACAACCACGAGACGTCACAGGGTGAATCGAGCGGGATGCAGGTACACCAGCGGAGTGGTCTAGCCCTTATCCCCGGCCCTGCAAAAAGGTATTGGATATTTTTGTTGTATAGTCTAGTAACTTTTAGAACGCTGCTGCTGCGCTCTTCGTTAATCGACTGGACTGACTCACTACTGACAACTGACTGTCGGTATTTACTCAGGGGAGGTATAGATGAGCATAAGGTTACGATGACAACTGTGGGCTTCTCATTAGCAGAGGGAACACCATTACCGTAACAATACGGGTTTTCAGCCATCAGCCTCGGTGGCCTAGTGGTTAGAGTGCCGAGCTGATATGCTGAGAGTCCCGGGTTCGAATCCCGCTGGTGTCACTAACTTTTTGACTAAGATTTTTTCATTATCAGCAAGTTTGGTTGGTTTGGTTCGGTCGATTATGACAGTTTAATTTTATTATTAAGTCATTATAAAATTTTAATTGAGCAATTTCTAGTTTTATTTAATGAACATAATTATTTTTTCTATTAATAAACTTTTTTATATTACTTCATTATCAGCAAGTTTGGTTAGTTCGGTTAGGTTATGATAGTAATTTTATAATAAAAAAATTATAAAATTGAATTTGAGGCATTTATAATTTTATTTTATAAACAGAACTATTTTTGCGATTAGTAAACCTTTATTGCCAAAATGCTCTCTACTACAGCGCTGTTCACAGAGGAATTTTGAACTAATGCCTCAATCGTACCTCCCCTAAGTCAGACGGTCAGGCCCCTGACTGTCTGTGTGAAGTTGAAGTGTGGACTGAGTCTAGTCTAGTCTAAGTCAAGTCTAACTGATTGCCGTTTCCCCGTTTGCCCGTTGCCGTTGCCCTGTAAAAGTAAACTTACTTGAAAAGTTTTTAAGTTATGTTCATTTTAATTTGATTTTTCGGTGAATAAGAATCAAGACTATTTACAAGATGAGTGTCACAAGTAATTCAATAATATCTGATGCTGATGCAAAGAAAGCCGAAACGATCAAAGAAGAAGCAAATGTGTACTTTAAAAGTAAGATCAATTTTTAGGTTAGGCCTACCTGTTTTAAGCCTTTGGTAAATTTAATGTAAATTTGTTTTTACAATCGACTGATTTTATCTTGAAACCATTCATTTGATCTTGAAAGGGGCCAGTCAAAATTATAATCTTGTTAAATGCACTGTTAGCCTGTACATTTGTTTAAATTTAAACTTTCTTACCGGTAGGCAGGTAAAGAAAATGGAAGAGGCCTATCCCATTGACAATGTTTTACTAGACGTTGGACTACACTGCCCTTGTTTGAACTTAGAACCTTTAACTTATAACATGAAATAAGTAACTTAAATTAAGTGCACTAGACTGGTTCCGGGGGACAACCTGGGGATATCGTACTGCCTAAGTTTCCACAAAATAGGGCCTACATCAGTAAGTTAGCCTAAATTGGATAGGCCTAACTTTTAATCTATTTGTCATGGAAGCTTTAATGAGACTAGGCCTAAGTTTAGTTAAAGCTTGGATTTTAAAATAGTTTAACCCTCCGAGTGTCCATAGTTTAGGCCTTAATGTCCACCTATTTTTGGCCCCTTTGCAAGGTTTTATTAAAACGGATCTGAGAAGCTTAAAACAATGTTAATTCTAATGTTCTATATACCATTTTGTTTGGAAAATCATGGGCTTCAATATTATATATAAAACATAAGGAACATTTTTTTAAAAAAAAATTTTTAGGTAAAAAAAAATATAATTTCGAAAATTTTCAAAAAAAAAATAAGTTTGCGCTCAATGAAATTGTATAAATTATAGGCCTATAAATATTTGAAAATAGCCACTTTGTTCTAAATTTAATGAGGATTACAAATATATAATCATATAGCGAGGTAAGTTATCAAATAAATAAGTTATGAGCGAAAAACGGATTTCACCCATAGCGTTTAGCTAAGAATGCATAGCCTAACCACAGCTAGGAATCTGGCTGATAATTTACATCAATATCACTACCTACTTCTTCAGGATCATCAACCAGCACTTCAAAACCACTTAAATCTTCTTATAATGCACCACGTATATCACTACTTTTGATTTTTAACACTAAAACAATGATAAACGTAATAAAACACATCAGTCATCGGTCCGGGGGAACCTAGCTGTTTACAAATACACGCACGTCAGCTGTCTGCTACAATATTTTCGGAACTAAAATGAATAGCGCTTAGAGACAGGCCTCTGGAGAAAGCTTAGAATATTACGGAAAGAACGATACCTAACTCGATCCAGTTCAATCCGATTCAGTCAGTCATAGAGCCTTCGCCGTAAATGATGTTTGTGCGTCTTAAACTCGACGCGTGACCCTACACAAAGTGTGTTGTGCGTCTATTTTTTGACGCGTGACCCTCGGAGGGTTAACTTAGCCTAGTTGAAACTGTTCCATAGTATCCAGTTTCCATTATGGGTACAGTTTCTGAACTGGGCTACGCTAACTTAATATAGATTGAAACTATCGATTCGATTAGTAAACCTTCATGCAATGTTTTCACCATCAGCAAGTTTGGTTGGTTAGGTTAGGTTATGATAGTTTCATTTTATAATAGATATACAGTAGAGTCCCGCAAACTCGGCACTCGATAACCCGGCATTGTGGATAACTCGGCCATCACCTGGCTCAGAAAATTAGTGATATTTTGAGTCCGAGTTGAACATGGACACAAGCCAGCTCAAGTCAAATCATTCTCAAGTCAAAGTTGTATTGTTCTTATTTTTAACCCTAGTTCCCGATAATTTGGCACCCTTCCAGTCCACATTACGCCGAGTTTGTGGGACTCTACTGTATTTAAAAATATTGATTACTAATCAATATTTTCAATTTGATAGTTTCAATCAATATTAGCGTAGCCCAGTTAAGAAACTGTAGGGGAGAGTGGGGTACATTTGAACACTTTTTAAACTTTAATTTTTTAATAGGTGAATTTACGTGTTTTTAATAAAAACATTATTAGATTTAGTTGTAACATAATCTTAGCTTTAAATTAGTTATTTTTTAAGCACTCCAAGTTAACATGTTAATGTGCAATATCCGTTTTTGCAAAGGTATGCAAATCGTTCAAAAGTACCCCACTGGTGGGGTACTTTTGAACAAGAAGTGGGGTACAATTGAACACACGAATTAAGTAAAATGAAAATTTTTATTTTACAGAAATTGTTATGCATGTGAGTTGATAAAAACAGTTCTTATTTCTATTAGAACTAACTCTTCTTTTAATGTTTTAGATTCACATTATTTGTAGCTAAATGTTGCAAAGTTAATAGCAAATTATATTCGTTCGCTACACGTGCAGTTCTTACACTCATTGTTGGTTGAGGAAGCTTATATAGTCTTAAATTATTATTATTCATTACTGTTTTGTATGAGAAACAAATATAATCAGTTGGGGTACATTTGAACAACATGCTTACCAGAGGAAAACATGGTGTTCAAATGTACCCCTCAGACTCTTGTTCAAATCTACCCCACTAGGCACAATTTTGCAAAAAGTTAAATTATGTTTTCTTGAATTGTAATTTATCAATTTGAAATGCATAATTGTATCTAAATATGTATAAGCCATAAGGTAAATGGATCAAACTTATCCGTAATGAAGTTTTTCTATGGAAAATTTACAAATCCCTACTCCTAAAAAAGTTTTCTTGTGGCGCTCTAAAACTTATTTTCCCAACAACAAACTAAGAACTGATCAGAAATGGAGGGAGATGAATGCAACCTGTTGTCCGATTTGAGGGCTACATTTTACAGCTGGTCCAATGGCCTGCGAGTATAAACATGACGGAAAATTTAAACCGTTCAAATGTGCCCCATTCTCCCCTACCCTTACATTATTGTAAAGTCCAATGTCTTTATCTTTGTTATCGATGTCATGACTTTTGTGCAATTTATAAACTTATTTATTTTCTAATACAGAGGGGGACTTCAATAAAGCAATAGAACTCTATTCTGCTGCAATTGAAGTTAATCCAAATGTGGCTGTATATTATGGTAATAGAAGTATTGCTTACCTCAAGACTGAGTGCTATGGCTATGCCCTAAATGATGCGACCAAAGCCATAGAAATTGACAGAAGTTACATCAAGGGTTACTACAGGAGAGCTGCCGCTCACATGTGTCTTGGGAAGTTTAAACAAGCTCTAAGAGACTTTGAAGCGGTAAGTAAGTAGGGTAGTAGAAGTAAAGTACGTCTCAAAGTTGTCTGTAGAATATAGTTGTCTGATATTGGCAAATTATGGGTCGCAACTCACCCCACTTGTAGTAGGTGGGTTGTAAGGATCAGGGCAGTATAATTTTGATAATTCAAGGTGATACGCATTATTTTCAGCATTGGGAATGTTAGGTTAAAATAATGTTTGAAAAATTCATTTTATACCTGATTTGTATGTGAGGATTTGAATAGTTTAGGAGTTAGATACATTTTTACATAGGTAGGCCTAAATCACACCCCTAAATCAGAACTTTTCTAAACTTTCTGCAACGGACTTGAAAAATAGGCTATATTAAAAAATTGCTGGCTTACGCGGTCCAAGTTGTGTGATAAAGAACTGCGTAGAGGAATTGACAAAACCACAAGCGTTGTTGAACCCATTAATATTTTGTCATTGCAATCAAGTGCCAAGTCAATTACTGTGTACCCTACTTCCAAGAACTCCATAACTCAGTAGCTTAGCTCATAAAAGCTGTGTACCACTTTTATTCCTTTACAATTTCTTTATTTATTACTAGGGTAGGCCTAATTATTATTAGGCCTAGATCCCAAACCTATTTTATCATGGAAATAATAGTTTTATAAAGCTGTTGAATTTTACTTATTACTTGTATGTACTTTCATCTTGAAGATTCAATTACCCGGCCATTGCCTACTGCCATAAAACTGTTTATGGTTATTATATTAAACTTGTAACTAATCTACAGTCTTGGTTTGTAAGTAAAAGCCTTTTTTAATGATATTTTATCTTTCAATTGACAAAACCACAAGTAGGTATTGTTGTTTCCATTAATTTTTTTTTCATTATGCAGGCCTAATTGGTCTCAAATCAATGTCATTTTATGTATCTTTGTCTTATATTGTTGCCTGTTCAGGTTTCAACGTTTTTTTGTTTCCCATATTTATTTTTTGTGTTATAGGCTATGCTTTAAGCAATCTAAATCTTATGAACTAGAATGATGATCATAGTGACTTTGCCTGCTATTATAACCTCAATAACCTCATTGTTTGTTAAACTCAGTTTAGGGGTCATTGTCACTAAATGTGATAATTTGCCAATTTTTTTTTACTTTTTTATAAAATATTTTGTTAATATTAAGTTATTATAAGAAGTGACCATTCAGAAATAATACAAATCAATCAGCAGCAGAGCTTAAAATCTTTATTTAGTTTTTTTTTTCTTTTCAGGTCACCAAGTCTGGTTAAGTTACACCTATTGTTATATAAAAAAAAAAAAAAAAAACACTAAATATTGTTCAGTAAAAAAAAACAAAATTTTTGATAATTAGGAAATAACACTATTTCAACTGGTTTTTGTAGTTTGAGTTTTATAAGACTAAATGTTAGTTTTTTTTTTCATGAAAAGTGATTGATAAAGGTGAAATTAAATAGAAACTCCTCTTAAAAGTCAACAAAATCCATCATAGTTAATTAAAAAACTACTTGTATATACTTGTATTTGAAAAAAGTTCAGTAACATTGAAATACAATTAGTTTACAAACTACCTATTGTAAAAAAAAAATAAATTACCAATGCATTTTTCTTAATTTTTATAAATCAGTACCGTGACCGGGCTGTCGCGGCCGTGACCAGGCTGTCGCCACCGTGACCAGGCTGCCGCCGCCGTGACTAAAACTAAGATTTTGAGTAAGCGTCCATCCTGTTATGCGAATATTTGTGCTTAGGCCTACATATGGTTAAAAACTAACCATAGAATCGTAAACGACAAATATTAAATATATAACAAAGAACTAAAACGGAAATTCATTCATACCTGGATATTTTGGAAACAAATTTCTTATAACAATTTAGTTTTTTTTTTTTTAAACTAGGTATTTTTAGTTAAAATTTAATATTTTTGTTGTTAGTTAAATTTAGAATATCAAAAAATATAATAAAATAAACGCAACCTGCGTTTATTATACTTTTTGGCACTATATTACAGCCCGGTCACGGAAAAACAGCTCCGGTAACGTGACCGGACTGTAATCCTTAAACTATATTATTTATATAGCTCCTAGGCTAGTTGACGAGACTAGGCCTCATTTTCAGGTTATGCTCTGTGCACAATTCTACAGCTAGTCCAACGTTTGATTTGCCAGTTTTTTATTGGAATATATCGGATTAGTGTGAGTGACCAAACTGTAACATAATTAAGGTACGATGTGTTTCTTACCTGTTGTTTTGATTATAATTTCTTAATCAACACTTCTTCTGGCGAAAACTTCAACTCACAGCAACTTTACAAAGGTACTCACAAGGCTGGGATGATTTGCCGCGCTTTACAACTTTTTTTGCTGCTTTGGCGGGCTACGTCATTTTCACAGTCCATATCTCGGTGGCACTTGGAGACTGACGTATGAGGTCGAAAAATCAATATTCCGACCAATTGTAAGATTGAACACATGACGTATTCGAATAATAAGTATTACGTAGAACATATATTCAAAGCTCTGTCGTGTTTTTAGAGTTTTTTCGATATTTGACATCTCATTTGATGTTTAGGTTAGTGACCGGAGACAAGTGACCGGACTGTAAATATGTGCCTGTAACCTATAAAACTTTTAAATTATGCATGTAATTGCTAAAATAAAGGAATATATTATTGGGAAATAAGGTAAATAAGTAAGTACACACATTTAATTATTTTTTATTTAGTTTTACTTTTTATTTATACCTGAGACATAACTTATCCCATTCTGTGACATTGACCCTTAGGGCCTATAGATAACCCTCAGTTCCTAAATACTTAGGTCTAGGCCTGGGTATTTTGATTCTTTGAAAGAGCTGTAAAATATACCAAGAAAATGTAATTGAGTCTAAGATAAACTGATGATTGTCATATGTCGATGTTAACTTTGCAAATGAAAAGATAATCTTACTCTGTGCTTACTGGTAGCCGCTCACCATACAGATTTTGTACCAAGAACCGAGTTACAATACGTGCATTAAAGTTTTTTTTTTTTTCTAAAATAACTTAGTCGAGAACTTAACGTTGTGCTAAGGCGAATCATGCCAAATTAATCCGCCTAGATTGGATATGATATTGTATGAAAATGTTTCCGTGACTGATGGTCGATGGAGATATTTTTAGCATTTTATCGCTAGTCGCGGGAGACGTTGGTTGTGTTTTTTGTTACACTAACTAGGTATAGCTTTACCTATAGTAGGCCTATACCTACCTATGTTTTTTTTTTTACTTTAATAAATTTATATTTTGAAATTTAACTCAACTGTCTATTATTATTTACTTTTATCTCTATTACATCACAGTGAAGAACAAGATTAATACAGTTTGACAAATCAGGAAAATATATTTGGTAATCGCACCGACAAAGGTTACGACAAAGTGTCCTTAAATGTACGGGAATTGTCCATGAATTTTTTATCTAGAATTTAATAGACACCCTGGTAATTGGCTTAAGGATTTTTTATTTATTTCAACTGTTTGTGATTTTGTCGCAATCACGAGTTACGATATGATAATGTCCCTCCGAATGCAGGAGCTGTTTTTTATTTCCCTGGTATAGCGGGTGACAATAATGATGTCAAGGTGGAAGTTAATACCCCCGCCGCAGCAAACCTGCAGACTAAGCGAATTTTAACTTGTCTGATTACATTCTTACCAAAATATTTACATAAATAAGACATATTTATTCCCTATTTAAGTAACATTAAATTTAACGAGAGCTTAGGTTTGCTGCTACGGGGAAGGTAAAAACTGTTTTTTTACCATACGTCAATAGTATAGGATGAAATAAATACATTTGCGAAATTTTATCAATATATATCCATAAACAAGTAAACTACATCAATTTTCATTTTCTCCATAAGAATAACATGGGAATTTTAAATTACACTATTTTTGAATTTTCTCCGTGACCGTTAGGCATACAACAGCGCTTCAATATACTAAATTATTTCTTTTTTTAAGCTCTACAAAACGGTTTAAAAAGAAATTGCAAAATTTTTTGTTTTTAGGATCAAAAATGGGAAAAACCTATTTTTACCCCATAAAACCCCCCATAAACCCCCGTTCCCATGGTCCGATTATGCTGGATCGCGAACTCGCTGGAATAAACGTTGGTTTACACGTTTGTACCAAATTTCATCAAAATCGGATCAGTTTTGCTTGAGTTATTGCGCTAACGGACTCACACACACACACATATATATATATATATACGGTATATATATTTTAATTTAGGTGTTCACGTAATAGGGCTGCTGATATATTAAATATTTAAGTAAATAAGTACAACTGAGCACCCTGAATATTATATTTTATAAAAAGAAGTGACATGTTTCGGACATTAGTCCATTTTCAAACTTCAAAATACATTAAACACTTAACTGTTGTTTATATTGTTTGTTTGTAAATAAATATAATTTCTATATACAGATGATTTATAGAACTAGACAGGATTTGGAAAAACATTTTTGTTACTGATTATTTAATTTTAAAATTTGGTCAAAGATTGGGTTTCTTGAAGGAATTTGGCTATTTAAAATATGATTTGGATTTTTTAAATTTTCTTCGTATATAAGAAAATGTGCTCAAGCACATTCAAGCTCTTAAGAGTAACAACAGAACATCCATGAAATCAAACTTTGCTGAACACCTTCTATCGACCAACCACAATTACACAAATTTAAAAAACATGAAAATTCTAAAAGTTTTAAACAAAGGAAATCGAATGGATTCAACTGAAGAATATTTCATATACGAAAAAAATCTAAAAAATCCAAATCATATTTTAAATAGCCAAATTCCTTCAAGAAACCCAATCTTTGACCAAATTTGAAAATTAAATAATCAGTAACAAAAATGTGTTTCCAAATCCTGTCTAGTTCTATAAATCATCTGTATAGAAAAATTATATTTATTTACAAACAAACAATATAAACAACAGTTAAGTGTTTAATGTATTTTGAAGTTTGAAAATGGACTAATGTCCGAAACATGTCACTTCTTTTTATAAAATATAATATTCAGGGTGCTCAGTTGTACTTATTTACTTAAATATTTAATACTAGATGTACCCGCGGGCTTTGCCCCGTTTAACTTCATAAGTATTCGCATGGCTCATTCACGTCCTGGTTGAAGTTCGTTCGCTTCGCTCACTCACCTTTTGGTTGAAAATTAGCTATTGTCATAAATTTAAAAAAATAATAGTGCTGCACCCTGTTGGTAATCCTTGTAACTTTTATGCTATTGAACATCATAGAACAGAACCAACTTGTTTAATTGAAACAGCTGTTAAGATTCATTAATTCCTTTTAGATATGAAAAATCATAAGGTTAACATGGGGAACTACAGAGCCACTGGGGCGGAGCCCGAAAGGATTTTTGGGATAAGAATATGCTTTAATGTTAATCGGGAATGTGAGCTATCATCATGACAAATTTCAGCCCAATCCGTCCAGTAGTTTATGCGTGATTGAGCAACAAACACACACACAAACATACACACAAACACACACACAAACTCACAAACTTTCAGGTTTATAATATTAGTAAGATATATATATATATATATATATGAATTTGAACGGATGGTGTTCTTGGCCTCTAGGGACCTCAAAATGAAAAATTAAATCGGTCCCGGGTCCAGGTCTTACCATGAGTACTACGGTAATAGCTTGTTCCATATATGGGAAATTCGCTAATATTCCATAGGCTATATGGGAAATTCGCCTAAATGCTGTTTACTTATGACTTTGAATCTTATTTTAGGTGGTGAAAGCAAGACCAAAAGACAATGACGCTCGTCTCAAATATCAAGAATGTAACAAAATTGTTAAAAAGATAGCTTTTGAAAAGGCAATTGCAGTTGACGATACCAAGAAGTGTATTGCCGACTCAATCGATTTTGAAAACATGGGTAAGTTGCAGCTTTTACTAATGGTCCAGATTTGCATTTTGTTTTCATATGTACAGTAATTCAAGTTAGCCTACCTAAAAGACTTCTAAATGATCTCGGTTTTTATTGCCTATCAGTGCTTTTAATATAACATGTCATCTGAAACTGTCAAAAAGATTCAAAAGATTTGCTGTACCGCTCAGTGTTCATAATAGGTAACGTCAATAAAAACTATGCTAAAACATATATAAAATCAAAATATATCAATAAAATGATAACCATTGCAAACCATGCTGAATTTGGTTAATCTCCATACAGTAAACCATGCACTTATAGCAAAAAAAAAAAAAATTAAATTGTGACACATACCTGAATACAAACTAAAACATGGGTCAGCCTTCACAGCATCGTAAAATTCAACAAAATCATAGAATGGATTCGTCTTGAGCCAATTTTGACCAATTTTGACTTCTGCAACAACCGAACACTTTCAAATATCACTTTCAAATTCAGGCATTATAAAACTTAATACCTGCAACAGGAAAATAGTTATTAGTTTTACTCAATCTATTGCTACCGGTACTTATTTTTTTAGGGATGGTCGTCTCAAAATTTCGGGAAATTTTAAATCTTGTTATGCGAGAAGAGATTTCTTTTTGATCAAGATTTTTTTTGAGACTAGAAAAAAAAATTAAAACCCCTGCAGAAAGTCAATGCAATCCGCGTTGTAGTTGTGTTTCATTTTCGAAGGCGTTCTCATTTAATTAATTCTTTACGTGTAAATATTACTTTAAGGGGATTCACCACTGAAAAAATACTTATTTTTTAAATACGCAATAAAAATGGCCTAACTATTTTTCCTAGTGTGTACCGTAGTGAGCTAATAAAAAAATAAAAAAAATTTGAAACGGCCAAAAGGTTGTCACATACAACCTACAGCGAATAAAAACTGGTTTTTTGCACGTTTTTTAGACCATATTTCAAAGTGAAATATCTAAGAAACTATGCAACATTTTGCACTGCTCATGGTCTAATTTTGAAAATAATGATCTAATCTAAATATTTAGGTGGATTTATCATGGTAGCATTAGTGTTTTATAAAAATTCGTAGAGGAAACTTTGGATTTTTTTTAAAAAGACATGCATATAAATAAAATTATTTTTCCTAAGCAACGTATTTACATAAAAGTCTAATTCTACCTAAATATTTAGTAAAAGATCTATGTGGTGAAAATATGAACTCTTATCTCAAGTGGTTCTCAAGATATGTCGATTTTTGTCAGAAAATTTGTTAAAATTCAAACTTTCGGAAAACCGCGTTTGAAAGTAAAAATGTGAAATTTCGGGCATTGACGTGTATGCAAAAAATGTTATTTTTTCATACTTAGGTTAGGTTAGGTTACAGATATTAGGTCTTAGGGTACTATATTCTTGTTCAGTAGGTTCCTGTTGATTCCACTAATTTTACTAATAAAAGTTCACATTTTGTATAAGAAAATAGAAAGTAAGTTTTTCACAATCTGTAAGTAAACAAAAACAATTCAACAAGTAAACAAAATAATAATTTGAACACATGTTAGAAATAAAATGTAAATAAAACTAGGGATGGACGAGATTGGATTTTTAGTTTGAGACGAGACGAGACGAGATTTTTTATTTCTCATAAAATTTCGAGACGAGATCGAGACGAGATTTCTCTTCTCATACACAACGGGAAATGCACGTTCAAAATTTTTACCTGATTTTGTAACATTGTTAGATGACTGTTTAAATACTAAAATAATGATAATAGGCAAGAATATATACAGTCTTTCATTAAATAACATCAGCATAACATTTTTTTATTAATCACGCCTAACTTATTAAAAATGCCTACGATTAGGAAACATGGTGATATCAGTTAGGATAAGAGTTAAACTTATCCTAAAATAAAATAAATCATAAAATAAAAGCAATATTAATTTTTATAAAATAGTTACTTGTTTTGACTTTTTTTATAGTAATAAAACATTCCTCACACTGCTTACACTTAACAAAACTTCTCAAATGTTATTAAAGTAATATTATTAAAATAATGAAAGTAATATTTACATTAAAAGAATTAATTAAATAAGAACGCCTTCGAAAAGGAAACGCAACTACAACACGCTCCTGTATTGCAGGTATTGCATTGACTTTCTGCAGGCGTTTTTAATTTTTTTTTTTTTTTTATTGTCTCGATAAAAATCTCGGCCAAAAAGTAATCTCGTCTCGTGTAACGAGATTGAAAATTTCCCGAAATTTCGAGACTTGACCATCCCTAAATAAAACATATGTTAACACCTCCTCCTCTATTTACTGTGCTGCGGCACTTTACGAAGAATCAGCTGGTCAACATGTCTTATTATTCGTCCATCTTCTAGCTGAACTATGTACATTACATGTCCTTGCTTTTTAGTTTTATAGCCCGAATACCATTTGGACGAACCATTGACATATTCCCGCGCTTGCACTGTATCTCCAACTTTGAAATTCCTTTTTATACCGACTTGGACTCCCTTCTTCTGATATTTGTTCGGTTCTAATGTTGGAACAATTATTGCGAGGTTTGTTCGTACACTCCTTCCAAACATCAGGTGATATGCTGATGTACCAGTTGAATTAGGGGATTGCCTGAGTTTCATTAAAAGTCTTTGGATTTTATTTTGCAGTGTACCCTTTTCTCCCTCCATGGATTTTAACGCCTTCTTGACAGTCTGCACGTATCTTTCAGCCTGGCCGTTTGAGTTTGGATGGTATGGTGCCGTTGTTCTGTAAATAATCCCACATTCATTCATGAAGTTTTTGAACTCTTGAGAAACAAATGTTGAGAAGATTTTCCATAATTCTTGGACTGTCCATGTACTTGTAGTTGTTTTTGTCTGTATCACCTCTACCCACTTACTAAATGCATCCACTAATATCAGGTACTGGCCATCTGTTGGTCCTAATAAATCAATGTGCACCCTCTCCCATGGATTAGAAGGTTGTTCCCATGGATGGATAGTTTTTCTCGGGTTGTTGTATTTTTCAATGCATTGTCGACATTCAGCTACCATCTCTTCAATATCCTTGTCTATACTTTTCCACCAGCAAAAACTGCGACCTAAAGCCTTCATTTTTATTACTCCTAAATGAGGTACCTGTAGTTCCCGAAGCACATGAGGTCTGAGATACTGAGGTATCATGACTCTCCAGCCCTTCAGTTCACAATCATCTTGAATGGACAGCTCGTTATCGTGAAATCCGTATTGCTCAACAGATTATCCCGATTTTAAGTCCTGTAGGACTGGACCTAAAACAGCGTCATTGAGAGTTTCCTTAGCCACCACGGTACTGTTGATATTGAGTGTTTCCAGTTGATTTATGTGGTACTTCGAGAGGTCATCTACAGAATGTTCTTGAACAACTTTGATAGGGAAATGTGAGAGATAATCTGCATTGCAATGATGAGCGGTTTGCCTGTACTCTATGTCATAGTCGAATCCGGAGAGAACAATGAACATAGTTGAATATTCGTGTTGCCGAGATTGTTGGCAAGGTCTTTTCTGGATTAAAAATTGACACTAGCGGTTTGTGACATTTTAACAAAAAATGTCTAGAATACGGAGTTGTGCCAAAATACGTTTCTATGAAAATTTCCAATAACTCCACAGCTGCCAGGAAAGCTAAAAGAGTTGCTGAAAAAACCTGGATAAAGAATGAAATCAAGTCTGTACGCTAAAAAGAGTATGATAAATAAACTTCTTTTAGGGAAACATCTTACACTCTTGAACAACTTACACCCTGCACAGCAAAACGATGTATTTCTTCAGTTAGAATCCCAAATTCAAAAGAAAGTACAATACAAAAAGAAAACCCAAGCTAAGAAATTTGATTCTATAGTAAAGGCACAAATAAAAATCGAAACAATAGCATGCAAACACAATTTCCACCCTAGGTTATTGAACCAAACAGACATAGAATTTTCAAACCAAGAATTGGCATTATTAAACAAAGGACTCAACTTCAACTTTCCGAACGACAGGAAAAACAGTTTAATTTCTGAACTTTTAAATGCAGATACTGCCGTTAAGTGTTTAAAAAACAACATGACACGTGACATCACCAGAGCGATGATATCCAACAAAACCCACAAATACATGAACAACCCCAAACCTAGGATACAATATTTATCGAAGTATAGATCTTTGAAACAAGTCGCTCAAAGTATCAGACTCAAGTTACAACAGAACAACGCCGTTATCGCAAAGGCAGATAAGGGTAACTGCACAGTCGTCATAGATAAGGATGAATATATTAGCAAGGTCCAGGACTTCATCGATGCCAATAACATCACAACTCTAGCTAAAGACCCCACAGTGTCAGGAATACCATAGATTTAGTAAATAAGGTTTCAAACATAAAACTAAAAGATTCTTACATCCTAGCATCTTTTGATGTTGTCAATCTATTTACTAACGTTCCAGTTAATGAAACAATGATTTTACTCAAAAATAATTTGGACAAACATTCTTCACTACCATCGAAGGCAAAAGAAGAAGTGGTTTTCTTAACCCAAAACGTCTTGAAGCAAAACTACTTTGAATTCGAGAACAAGTATTATATCCAGAACGAGGGACTAACAATGGGTTCGCCGCTTTCAAGTATACTCGCTGAATTATTCTTGAACCATGTCGAAAACAAACATCTTTGGTCCGATTCCAACCGAAATCTCAATAGAATTATCCACTATAGTAGGTACATGGACGACACCCTCATCTTATTCAATGGTAACGAGAGGCAAATCAACCTCCTCCATACATACATAAATAAATTTCACAAGAACTTGAAATTCACCCTTGAAATTGAAGAAACAAAATCAATTAATTTCCTAGATGTCACCATTACCAGAAGCGATAACCATTTAAATTTTAAAATCTACAGAAAACCTACTACCACTGATCAGACAATTCATTCGTTATCACACCATCCACATAACCATAAAACCGCCGCATACAATA